GAGAGAGAGAAACATTGATATGAGATACATTGATTGGTTGCCTCCCGCATGCCCCAACCAGAGCTGGGGATCGAACCTGCAACCCAAGTATGTGCCCTTGACCAGGAATTGAACCCGAAACCCTTCGGTGCACAGGCTGACGCTCTAACCGCTGAGTCACTCCAGCCAGGGCGGTCCCATTGATTCTTTTATCTTCCCAGTGGCAAGATTTAACTCAGATCAATTAAACATTTTCTGAGTTTTAGACTCGTTCCTCGTCAATACAGACCAGAATGAACTATAAACAACAGGAAGTCCAAATACTTGCAAGTTCTCTCACCACATCCAGGGGTTGACACTACCAGGCATGAACAAGGCCTCCAAACTTAACAAATCCAGTTCCACATTAGCCTTTCTTCTCTTTCCCAGAAATAACTGGATTGTATTTCACAGTGAGTAAAAGCCTCTCACTGTCAGGGACCCTCTGAGGTTAAAAGATTCAAGAGGGGACATTCTTAGTCTCACAGATATTTTCACCTCAGAACAGGGTTTTCCGTAGGAAGCACTGGGCCAAAGCCTGGGGAATAATGAACAGAAATAATAAAATGAGTTTGAAAGTTTGAAGGTCAGTGACTCCAGGTGAACTGGAGCTGGAGTCAGGGAAGATGGCCCTTGAGGCACAGGTACCTGGGAGCAAGTCCTCATGGCAGTTCTGAGTTGGTTACTTTCAAATGTTGCCTGGAACGTCTGCTCCTGTTTTCTGTTTTTCCCACTGCCACCTATTAAGTGGGTATAGTTTTTGTTCCTAACTACTTCTCACTTCCCTCCCCAGAAATATGGCAAAACTAAAAAAGAATTTTTTAAGTGGAAAGCTATAGCAAAAGAAATGTGAGCTTTCATTATTTCTTCTTTGTGGTGAAGCCTTGATGCCTAATAACAATAACAATAACAATAATTTAATTACCAGGCGACCCCCAGGGGCGTTTTAGGTGTGCAAACCCCTTCCTTTCGCTTTCTGCTTTCTTCTTTCCCTTCTGTCTGGGAGGCAATGTGCTAGAGTGAATGCAAACATGGAGATTGGTTTCCTACAGCTCTGAGTTTGAATATTCATTTTATCTCTTAGCTATATGATGCTGGGCAAATTGCTTAATTGCTCTGAGCTTCAATTTCTTCATTATAAAGTAATAACACGTACCTCTCTGGATTTCTATATGAGTTAAATGAGAGGTAAAATCTTAGCACAATTCCTGGTACACAGAAGGTATTCAAATAATGGTATTTCCTTTTGTGCCTGGGGGTAGGGGAGAACCTACTTCACAGCTCACAAAGAATTCTTTCCCATATTTAAAT